TGGAAATATTAAGCATAGTTTGAGGGATATATGGTTATATTGAGAATGGGAATAGAAAACGGCGTTAAGCTACATTAATATTCTTTATAACTTCTTTAAAAACTTGCCATTTTATATATTTTCTGACTTAGTTAAGTTTATCCTACAAGTCTATCTTTCAAGGGAAGCACTCAAATTGCTTTAAAAAGCCTAGATTAACTTCCTAAAAGCTTTGGCTTTTTGATTTTCTGTGCGAGGTCCCCATGGGCCACCTAAAATCGAATCAATAAACCACTAGAAACCGAAATTTTTCGGAAAACAGTTTCACTACGGCACAATCCACGTTCCGGCAACTCATCCTATGTGGTTAGCTCGTCATTATTGTCCAGCGTAATCACATTATTGTGCAACGCCGTGCAGTACATAGATCGGGGAATTCCCCTTGAACTTTTTGTGAATGTCATGAGCTGGCAGTTCGCTCACCTCAATTCCCCAATTCCCATTCGCCGGTGCGACACACACTAAGCACACTGAGAGAAAAGTCTATAAAAGGTATATATTACATAAAATATAAAACAAAATATTTATAACAATTAAATCTTAAGAAACTCGACAAAATAATTAACTTTCCACTTTCTGTTAATATTAAATTTCCACAGAAAATATTCCCATCCTAAACAAAGATCTTTCCAAGAACCTTTAGTACGAATTCGTTTTCAAATTTCCATGCAATAAAATTGTGTGTACTAAGTACATTTCTTTGAGTGCGCCCACTTCCCCCCAGCGTCAAATATTATCTTAGCCAAGCCCCAAAGAGCCAGAGAACACCAAAGAGCCAAAAGAACTATAAGCACGGGGAAATGGGGTAACGGGAAACGGGGGAGAGTCGAGTGAGTGACAGGCAATAAAAATGGGAGGTGACACTGCCACAGCCACTTCCGGAAAAGCCGGAAATGTTTCTGGACGCGATGGCGGTTGGCGGGGGTTCCGGAAGGGGTGGTGCCCCAGGCAAACCGAAGGCCGTAGCCGTATGCTATGCAAATAATTTAATTAATATTTTATTTCGGACACCCTCGGCCGAGTCGAGTCGGAAGAAAATTGGATTTTATTTACATTTTTGCACTTACTTGAACCCGCCCGAGGCTTGTGAATGAATGGCTCCGAAAGCGGGAATGGTCATTGAATGAAGGAAGAGAAAATGCACAATAAAAACAGATGTGAGCGTAAATTAAATCTCAGCATTCACGAATGTATATATATTCCCATATATAGACAGATGCGTTGGCATTGGCCTGCAGTCAAAAACTGTGAGAACATGAAAAAAGTTTCGGTCGAAATCAACTTACGCCTGTAAACAGTAAACAGTAAACAAATCGGTGGGATAAATATCTGCATATATGTAGTATCTGCAGAGATAGCTCAGACAGTTAGTTGCTCGTAAATCGGTGGGGATTATGTGCGCTAATAAAAGTTAAAGACGTTCGAGAAAAATATACAGAGAGAGAGCATTTGAACGAGGAAGCGCTTTAAAGTTTTCTAATATTACGCATACGCCCTGTGTGCAAAAGGTAATTACTGCGTACAGCACCGAATGATGATGATTAATGGTTGAGCTGAGTCAAGTGAAAAGCAGAGCTAGCTCTTGACTTTTCATCAGTGATTTTCGCTAATAGGTTTAAAGACCAGACATCTTTATAGTATATATGAAAAGTCAAAGAGATATAGTAATTAATTTTAATATTGTTTAAGGAACATTAAGGTTGTTACTCATCCTGGGATCTCTTTAGTTTATAAAACCTACAAAAAGTATGATAAAATTCGTAGCATCTCTTTGTAATTAAATTCTTTGACATCGTGAAAAATAATCTCATTTATTTTAAAACTTACCACCTGGTTTTCGCCTGCCACCTGCTCCACTCTTATCATGATAAAGAACTATATATATATATATATATATTCTCACTGATGGATAAGATCCCTCCTCCCGTGCGGCTGTCAGTTATAATTAAATTTGACTGTATTATCGTGACGGTGTCTGGAATAACTCTTTTTTCACAGTTGGGCTCTTTATCGTGTGCGTATATGTACATATTTACACCCAGAAGTCATGTGTCTGTTGACACTTCTGGCCCCCAAGGTCACTGCCGAATAATAATCATAAAAAAAGCCGCACAAGAACATACAAAAAATCAAGAAAAAGCTGAGCAAATTTCGGTGACAGTAGATTGCAATAAATAATAAATTATAAGAGTTAATGCGAGCAATGAGCACGGAGAGAGACGGAGGGATTCATCACACGGATGTGAGGATATATGTTATATATGGGTTCTACCAAGTCTCGCGTGATGCGCCATCGTTGTGGAAATTTTTGGGGGTTCGGAAAAGCGTGGAAAACGGGGAAACCCCTGGCAACTTTCTGGCACATTGCGTTGCCAACACGCACGCCAGTCATTCTGCTTACTTCTGAGTTTTCTCACATTTTTTTTCTGTTTCCCACTAGCAACCCCCGATTTCTTTTTTGTTTTTGAAGTGAAAAACCTTTATTCTTTCGTTTTGCTGGTAACTTTTTTGTGCAGCGACAATAGAGGAAAGTAAGTTTCTCAAGTGATTGAATTGAATTGGATTGGATAAATTTGCCAGCGTGAAAAACTTTAAATTTGCAATGATTGAAGGCATTGCCGCTCGGTTGTCGATGAACTGTCAAACTGGAGATGTTTGTACATTAAGGAGAAAGTTTGAAGGAATAAAGATTTAAATGCAATGAATTTATTAATCATTTTTTTTAGTAATTTATTACTACAAAATATCATCAATTCCGCAAACCCACTTCTCAGCCAGGTGAAGCTAATCATTGGTCGTGTAATCCCTTAAGTTTTCCAGCGGTTGAAGTTGAATTTTCCAGGGCATTATGCAAACATTGTCGGTTTTTATTGACAGACTTTAAAGTTTTGGTGGAAGTTTTCGCTGTACAACTTTGGACGTAGGCTAAGCTGCGTTGGTTTTTGGGACACGTCCTGGAAGGATGCTGCTCAATATTCATGTTCTCCTCGTTCGGCGAATGCAAATCAACATTCTTTAAGCTCACAAAAGTTTTATTGGGGCCAGCAATCAGGATTCTGGCGGGGAGTCCTTAAGAAGTAGTTCGAGGTCTGGCGAACTTCTTCAAACTTGTTAATGTTTGATAAGGCATTGATGGAGAGCACTGAGTGAGGAAGCAGGGAATTGGTAATTTCAATTCTAATTTAAATTGTAATTTGAAATCTACTTGTAATTTAAATAAAAGTTTGAGCTTTTATTGGTTGTGGTTGTGATAAAATATTAGCTTTAAAAAGAATTACAAATTCATTTCCTATTGCAACATTTAATATATTTTCTAATTAAATTCTTTGAGCTACTTCACCTTTATGTTTAATAATTTATTTCATATACATATATTATAATTGTGCAGCTTTAATAAAAATAAATATGCTAAATTATTGGACATTTGCCTGCCGCAAACTGCGTATCAAATTGTCAAACTGTCAATGCTTCGATAAGCAATTGTGAACGCATTTTGCGGTCAAAATAGGATTAATATAATACCAAACAAACGAAATAATTGCACTCATAATTATATGTCAATTATTTACAATTTTAATTGGATGTACAGACATACATAGGTTCCAGGAATGCGTGGCAATGCATCAGAAATCTGTCAGAATTAGGCGAATATTTCCCGCAAACTCCCACAAGAACATCCTTTATGCAATTCATGGCCCCACAACAAATCTCCGTGAGACAAACACATAAATTCCGTTGAATTTCAATTACTCAGGGCAGTGATTACGTACTCAAGGTCCAGAATATCCGGAGCAGGTGTCAATGGTCAGGGGAAAGCAACAAGAACACCCACAGTCACATTCCCAGGTGTCCGGACACAAAACAAAATAAGAGAAAAACAAACCTTTAATCGGAACTGAACGCCCTCTGTTATCATCGTGTTTTTCACCATATGCTTTGCTGGGTGGGAAATGGGAAATGCGCTGGCAATCTTTTGCTGGAAAAACTCCCATCTGCCGTCAGCACAATTAACATTTTTTATGAGCTGTAAAATTTCTCAAATTTGATGAATTTATGCGTCCAGCAGCACAAATTCAAAATATACAGAGTGAGAATGTGCAACAATCAAACAATAAAGGCCAAGGTAGCACATATCCGTACGTAAATATACTCTTTCTCTCTCCACTGTGTGTCTGTGTGCAAACATTTTCTATTTTCGCTGAGTTCGGATAATTTTGGGACTTGCAGGCAATGGATTTAATGGCAGATTTATGATATAATTTATGGAGAGATATACAAGTTTAGTTTACCAATTTATGTTACCGGATAATAATTTATAATTATAGTCATTACTTTATCACTATAACTTGTAGTTATCTTTAAGGAACAGATGTTTATAATTAATAGAAAATAAAGAAAATATATTCCTTTAATAAAAGTCATATTTACATAAGCTTAGATAATATTTGTTCTTTGATGTTGATAGGTATATAAAAGGAATAGTCTTTTAAATTAATTTAAAGCTATAAAATGATTAAAATAGTTCTTAAAAAACACCTTGTGTTATACAGAAATAGATGTCTAAATTAGAATTATTTACACCATGCACAAAAGTCGATCAATTTAACATCTGCAAAATGTGTTGCTCATAAAATGTATACCTAAAATGTGTCTGCCTACGTATATTCATAGACATCTTGTCGACAAAGTGTGGGCAAAGATTTTTCCTGATATTCCGTTGGATTTTTTCTGCTCGGTATAATTTGCTTTATTTTTATGGTCGGATAATTTGCATTTTTAATGCCATTAAAAATTCATAATTGGAAAATAATGGGCCTGAAGAAATAGGGCGAGTGGGAAATTCGGCATTCAAAGGGGGAAAAAACTTTGAAGAAACTCTGACTAAATTCGTGACTCCCCTTTCACTCTCTCTCTCTCTCTCTCTCGTTTCACAGGGCGGAAAATGGAAACTGAAGCAGGGAACTCGAAACCGATAACGGGAAACCCAAAAACAAAGTCGGCCTGAAGTAAAATGTCAGCTGTGTTAGTGCAAAAAGCGTCGCCCGAAAGTCAACTCAACAATTTGGAGGAGCAATCACCGGAAGTGGACGTGGCACAGTTGGCAACCATATCGCTGCTGCTGCAATACGATATCGACAACACGCTGAATGCTCTCAAGGAGCACCAGAAGATGACCCTCGACGCTCGCCTGGGCATGCCCGAAATGCCCATAGTCCTTAATAACAACCAGGACGCCGCTGCCGCCAATAAGGATAAAGACATCAACCGGAATATGCCCGGTAGTCCCAGTACCGAACTGGAGGAGGTGGAGCAGATGGCACTGGACGGCAAGGTGGCATCGAATCCCTTTATGCCACCCACTCCGCCGGCCACGCCCAACCTGCAGAATACCGCCCAAAAGCGCTGGAAGATCCTGGCCAAGGTGCTGCGCAAGGATTCCGAGGAGACGGTTTCATCTTCGAGCGATGAGTTCGCCGAAGAGCAAACTGCCTCTGTGCGCCGCTTCAAGAGCTTCGATCTGCTGCGCCAGGACAGCTTCGAGGATCATGTGAGCCTCAAGTGCTTGGGGAAGACGGAGAACTGGTACAAATACCGCATGGCGTTGGAGAATGACATGGAGTACTCAGTGAACATCCATCACATGGAGCGCCAGCTGACGGCCAGCGATCTGATGGGCTTCAATAATACGGGCAACATTTGCGTGTGGCCCTCGGAGGAGGCTCTGACAGCTTTGGTCCTTTCTGAGGTGTCATCGTACCGCGGCAAATGGATCCTGGAGCTGGGTGGAGGATTCACCTCACTCGCGGGTCTGATGCTGGCCAAGTACGCCACTCCATATGCCGTCCACCTGACCGATGGCAATGAGATCTCGGTGGAGAATGTCCGCAAGACCGTCTGCCTCAACGAACTGAGTTGCTACACCAAGTGCTCGGTGCTCAAGTGGCAGGAGAAGGGTGCCCGTTCCCAGGCGGAGCAGGGCAAATTCGACTCCATTCTCTGTGCCGACTGCCTGTTCTTTGATGAGGCCCGCTCGGCGCTGGTGGACACCATCTGGTATTACCTGGCACCTCAAGGATCGGCCCTGATAATGGCCCACGACGGGGACGCACTCTGAGCGTGTTCCAGGACGAGTGCGTGGCCAGGGGATTTCGTGTGGAGCTGGCCACGAGGTACAACGAGACCATCTGGCAGCGGCATCTCCAGCTGAAGGCGGACTCCGCCCTCTACGACGAGGACCTGCACTATCCGCTGCTCCTGCGGCTGTGCAAAGAGCACAGCTAGGAGAAGCTGGCACTAGGTGCAATTACATTTTAAATTTTAGTCAATGTTTTAGTTGATAGCAAGCAAATTCCAGTTTACACCTTAAACAAAAGCGAGGCCAACGGCTGGCCTCGGCGAACAAAAAGAAATTCCTCCCACACCGAAAAACGGAATGTAGCAAATCAAATTCATTAGGCTGGTGCTAAAATTAACGTGAAATGTACAAAGCCAACACATTTTTGGTTATAAATTTATTCGCTTTATTGGTTGGCAAAAAGAAACAAAAAAAAGGAAACATTAGAAAAACAGACAAGTCTGTTAGGGAATGCAATGTTTTAAATAATTAATTTTTAGTTTATTGATTGAACAATTGAATAATATCATTCCATTTGAAAGCGAAATTAAATCGACTTGAAAAACTAAAGGCTTGTGTGCGAGCTTTCATAAAAATGTTTCAATAATTTGGCCATCATTTTAATTATTAAATTAATTGATTAGAATGGTATTATTTTTGTATATTTCGAGTTAAGTTTGTAGAGATATGTAAGTTAAAGCATCAACTGCACACTTTACGGTATTCGAAATGGATAAATTTAAAAATATGGAAAAACGTAACCCTGTTAAAGGATTTTCCTGTTGTCCAAATCTGTATTCAAGTACATGGATAATACAGCGATTGGGAGTGATTTTTTGCATCAAATCGATAATACTCAAGGGACATTTCTATGAAACTACATACATAATCACAGCTTTAAGGCACCAGTCTAGTGACCACCTTTAGCACGTAGTTCACTGTTAAGTTGTGTAACAAAAACAAAAAACAATTCCTTTTGATATGTAAATCTGATTTGCGTTGATTCCACAAAAACACCAACACAAACACAAACAAGTTTTGTAACTATATATATTTTATTTTTGTTTTTACAAATACTCCTCGTTATGTATGTTGCACAACCAAAAAACCCACAAAACACACAAACACACACAAGTATTATTTAAATTTAATGTACACGCTGACTAGCATACTTTTGGGGCAACCTTCGTGGAAAAACGGAGATTAGAGAGAACACCCTCAAACCGGAGGCGAATGAGTTTCCCGAAGCCATAAACCCGGGAAAGGAACGTGGCCAGCGCTCGACCAATTAATTAATAGTTAACTAAACTTAGTGTACTGTAATTACCTAGAGCATGTGTTAATGGTTATATGACGATGACATAAATACAGTATCAGAATGCCACATATACAATATATACATATGGTGAACTTGTTTAACTTTCGCTCAACTGGCACGGGAGTTGTCACTACTGCAATGATGTCAACGGTAATTACCATCAAAGCGGATGAGCAAACATATTGTCAGAGTTATTAGCGGGGTGTTCATTAGAGGACAGGATGATGATTCGAGTGATTCGAATATTACGAATGATACGAGTGAGTGCAGAAGGAAGTCGGCGGCAATCAGGCGCTTTTTTTATTGCGATTGCGACAGGGGCTAGGCAATTACTTTAACAGTGCCAGCAGTTCCAGAGACGGGAATTCGACGACGTCAGCAGGACGTCCATGATGTTGTAATGCCAAAGGATACCCATCTACACAAAGGTTGTTCCTGCGAGGGGTAAGCTACAGAAAGAAGTGATAAAAGGACCTTTATTTGTAGAAATATATAAAACAAAAATTGTATTTCTTTCAAAAAACAGTTAAGAAATAAATTATAAAAAGATAAATATCAAAATTAATTTCTAAAGTATAAAATTGTGGACTTCATTACATTCTTTCAAGTCAGAAGCTTGCAAGGCTTAAAGGAGTCATTTCCGAACCTATAAATCATATATATTCTGGATCAGCATCGATAGCAGAGTCGATCTAGCCATGCCCGATCAAAAAATAAATTTTCAAAAATTTCCCAAAATTTTAAGTTTTTATAAGGGGTTACATCATTAAAATTTGAAAAAAAAAATTGGCAAAATTTTGAATTTATTAAAATTATAAAATAAGTATGCAATTTTTTTAAACTAATAAAAATTAACAAAAAAAAGATTTCCGAATTAAAATTAATGCTTTTTTGGCAAAGTTATGAGGTTTTTAAAATGTGAGATATCGAAAATTTTGCCATATACAACATTGATAGATATTTATTAGTAAGTAAAATATCATCATATAAAAATAAATAGGATGCGTATACTTCAAGCTTATTTGTGATAAATTTTTGATAGTAGGTAGTTTTTTCCTTGTTTAAATTGTTTTCAAAACCACATCTACAAACTCACTTATTTTACTAATTATTTTTCATTATTACAGGGCATTCTTAAGTCTCCTTAATATTCTGAAACACTCTGCTTGTACTGTATGGCAGCTGACAAAAAATCAAAAATGAAAATAAAAATAAATCTGATAAGCGAAAATTACAAGTAAACTCAACAGCATGGCGGACGCACACAAAGTTGCCTTTTCGGTTTGGTGTGTGTGTAATTGTGGGTGTGCGTAAATGTTTGAGTGTGCGATTGTATATGTGTGCGTCATTAACGAGGTCATTGGTAAGTAAGCTTGTTTGATGTGCCCTAGACATGTAATCCTGGCTAGGAACAGCATGGCGAGGGGAAAGGGAAGTCAAACAAACGCAGCCAAAAAGGAGGCGGCCGACAGGCGACACCAGTGCTAACCACCATAAATTAACAAAGAATAAGTTTGATTATATAATAAAACAATTATTTATTGGCATTACACAATTATTAAGGTGAAAAAAAAAATAAGTAGTTGAATTGTACTAGCAATAGAGCCTAAAAAGGAACTAGAAATTGACAAGAAGATAGTAAATATTGGTTATTTTTCTAAGGTCTTTTAAATAAAATTAATAACAAAAAACTTAGAAGATTATTTATTTTTATATACTTATAATATATTAAGAGATTTTGGCAAAATATTAGAAATATAACAAATATTAAAGGAAGTGGTAAATATAAAGGCTTTTTGTCTTAACAAATTATGGAAACTAATTTTAAAAATATATAAAACCTTTAGAATTCTTATTCCCTATAAGTAATTACAAAACTTCAGCTATAAATAAGCCAACTAACCACCTGCGCTCCCCGACGACCAGGAACGTTGCGCATACGCCGCGTGTGTCACGCGTTGGCATGTAAATTTCGCCGCCCTGCAACGCCCCTGCCGTCCTGCTCTGGAGGGCTGCTAATGACATGAGACCGGGACCAAGGCAATGCCACAGTGAAACCGAGACCGAGAAGCGTAGAGCTTGGACAAGGAACTAGGCAGCGATATGCAAATCAGTTGGCTATGGCGACGACAATGATGGCCGCCACTCAATTATGCGCCGCTCAGGAATGGCGTCCGTTGCCTACTTTCAGGCGCACACGAAAAACAGCAAAAAGTATGAGGAAAACGCTTTTCGATTTACCCGCGCTAACAGCTGTTGGCAGGGCCCAAAGTTTCCCATTTTTTTTACCCCAAGGGGCCCGTGGGAGACTAACTGATTCGATGGGAAAAACACATTTCAATTTGTGCCCCTGGAATCCCCTTTTTCGGGTGAGGCGCAACGGCAACCCCCTTTTGGCCCATGGGAAACACGTCAAAGAGTTTTACTCGGCCAACAGGTGTTCCAATTGTTTTGAGCTTGTGGGCCTTCGTGTCGGCGGTATTTTTAGTTTGAAAGGCTCATTAAATTTTTAATTAGCGAAATTAGGGGAATGTGTTGCTCACGGATGTCGGGGGACCCTTGATGGATCCAAGTCGGTTTCATTTCATTATTGATGTCCGGTAAGTGTACTTTCGGCGACGCAGAAATGTTGCTAGTTCCTGTCGCTCCGGGGACATGACGTTACAGGTGGCAGGACAATGTTTCGAGCCCGGAATAGTTAACAGAACTCGACCTGGCCTTGACATCCTAAAAATAACCATAGCCTGCGGCTTTATGTCACATCACATTTATTAACCTGTCTAATTATTCATCTTGGACGTTGATGCACTAAGTTCAGTACATTCAAGTGGCCGTATGACACCAGGCACGTGCCTGTTAGGGTTAGGTGTTAGTAGGCGCGATGGAAAATATAGGACAGAATACGAGGAAAATTGAACTACCGGCGTGCTGCCAGATTGTTAGCTTGCATGCTTACTAAGTGTGTTAGTATTAAAGATTTTAATTTAGGAAGGGTATCTACGTTAGAGATTAGTGTGTACAAATCATTATAATTTGCACATAGCACTCTAAAAGGTTCATGCAGTTCAAAGGAGGTTCTACAGTGGCGCAACACTAATGGGATATAGGATCTAGTGGTTCTACATGGTACATGGAAATTAAGCTGACTCAACAAGTCAGCACTTTCCACATCACCATGTATAAGGTTAAAAATAAAGGTTATCCCTAGCATCGTTCTACGATTGGCTAAGGACGGCAAGTTTATTAATAGGAGTCTACTAGAGTAGGAAGGTAATCTTTGGTTTGCATCCCAATTTAAACCGCGTAGAGCGAAAAGTAAAAAGTTCTTTTGAACCGACTCAATGCGTTTACTATGGACGCCGTACTGAGGGCTCCAAACGCAGCATCCATATTCTAGGATAGGACGAACTAAGGAAGTATATAAGGATTTAGTAACATAGGGGTCATTGAATTCCTTCGACCACCGTTTAATAAATCCAAGCACACCCCTGGCTCTATTCACCATAGACGAAATATGATCAATAAAGTCAAGTTTAGGGTCCAAGCGGACGCCCAAATCGTCAACAGAATTAATTCTTTCCAAAGAGCAGCAGTTCAGCGTGTAAGTAGCAAGCTTAGGAACGACACGTGAGAATGTCATTAGCTTGCATTTCGAGTCATTTAAGTTTAATAAGTTTACACGGCACCAAGTTTGAAAATTATTAAGATCTGTTTGTAAATCCGACTGGCAGGCAACGTCATTGTATTGCACGCAAAGCTTGACGTCATCCGCGTACATAAGTACTCTGGAGTTAGTCAAGACTTTGGGCAGGTCATTTATAAATAATGTAAACAATAAGGGTCCCAAATGGCTTCCTTGCGGGACGCCAGATGTAACCCTTAGAACATTGGATAAATTATTCTTAAAGAGGACCTTTTGCGTCCTGCCATTCAAATAACTTGAGATCCAATTAAGAAGATCACTTGGAAAACCCATTGAATCGAGTTTTCTAA